CTAAGCGTACAGACGGCGGTAAGCGACTTTGTTTTATACTATATAGAGATACGAGGGCGACACAGAATTTTTAGAACTGGCCACTTGTAAACGATATAATAAAAAAATTGCTTAAAATTTTGAAAATGGAACTCTGCCAATATTATTCTGTATGTATTTTATTAATTTATCATTTGTTTATGATTTGGCGGCAAATTGAAAATTGTCTGTGTTACGTCAGCACAAATTTAACGCGAGAAAATTTTCGTACAATGATTTTTTTATGACTTTCGATGTCATTTAAGTCAACAAAAAGTTATGATAGACTTCGATTCGATTGGTCTCTCACGATGAAGCGCCATCTTGTGCCATTGTTTACAACTGGTTTAATGAGTTTAAACGTGGTCGCACTAATCTCACCGATGATCTGCGTGAGGGACGGCCTTCTACGGCGACGACTGAAGATAACATCAGTGTTGTGCGGCGTATGATAGATACTGACAAAAGAGTGACTTATCAGCAGATTCGGACAAGCTTAGGCAACGGTATGAGTCAAGTGCACAAAATCCTCCACGAACATTTAACAGTCAGAAAGCTTTGTGCCCGGTGGACACCTCATAATTTGACAGAGGCCCAAAAACTCCGTCGTGTTGATTGGTGTCTTGAAATGGTTCAAAGATTTAACGAAAATGCTGTGTTCGACATACTTACGGGTGACGAAAGCTGGATTTATTGTTATGATCCTGAAACTAAGTGACAGTCTGCTGTCTGGGTGTTACCTTCCGAGGAGTTGCCAACTAAAGTGAAGAGAGGTCGAAGCGTGGGAAAAAAGATGGTGGCCTCGTTCTTCGGAAGCAGGTCATTACGCAACAATTGTTTTAGAGAATCGAAAAACAGTTACTGCAGAGTGGTACACTAATAATTGTTTGCCACTTGTCTTGGAAAAAGTTCGGGAGAAACGACCTCGCAGTAGGATCCTTCTTCACCGCGACAACGCCTCGTCGCACACCCCAAGCAAACAATCAACTACCTGGCGACGTCAGACATAGAATTACTGGGCCACCCGCCCTATAGCCCCGACCTCGCACCTTGGGATTTTTATTTATTTCCGAAAATAAAAGAAAAACTTCAAGGAAAACGTTTTATGGACGCCGAGGAAGCAGTGGCTGCGTTTCGAAATGCCGTCGAAGAGACCCCTAAGGACGCGTGGGCAAAGTGCCTTTCTCAGTGGTTCCATAGGATGCAGCGATGTATTGATGTAAATGGACACTATTTTGAAAAGATATAATAAAACAAATAACTTACTAGTTTGTTAAGTTTTTGATTTTTTAAGAACTTTCAGTGCCACCCTCGTATTATTCACACAAAATTGCACCGGTCTTACTGTTATTTAAACAATAATACAGGAGCAGCAATTCGTCGTCGGTCAGATTCCTACCAAAACCCCCATTCATTAATGTTAATAGCATTACTGAATGTCATTTATTTAAAAAAAATCATGGCCAAGCATTTTTTTCATGTTCCTTATCCGCAAACGAGCATGTGCTATGCAGTTCACATGATGGCAAGTGATCGCAGCCCATAAACATTTGCACCACCAGAACACCAGACAAATCCTTGAAAATCTTATAAATCATAATATTTCAGAAAATTTCTGTTAATAGCAGATTTTATAAATTTGTCGAGTGAGACGGAATACTTCTGGAAAGCGCAGAGTAGCGAACCGCCAAGCATCCAGATGGTGTGGATGGTATTGTGAATCTTGTCGTAACGTACAGATGTTCTTCTCCTTCTTTTTGTCTCTTTTTTATCATTTGATAAAACTTAACATTAAAGAGACTAAATGTTTAATTATTAGATTAAATTAGCCGAGCCAAATCGAAAAATGTACCACTGTGAGCAAGTAGTTCGTAGTTCGTTAAAAACACCGCTAAAATTATAGGCTGAAAATCAAATACTTACACGTTGTATCACGCTCGATTATGAACCAGCATGTTCGCAGTTTGCAGAACGTTCTTTTCCATTAGTTTTTATTTTTAAAATGTTCCTTTCAGACTTCAACAACGGAATACGATAAAATGGCCCCGGAATCAAACGATTAGCCACAACGCTATCGAATCGCTAATAAGATAAAATATACAATATACACTTTGAGGTGTACACCCCGTTCCTTTTTTATTTTTTTTATAGAATAAGCTTTTTTATAGAATAAGAGTGACAAAAGAGCACACAATTAACCCGATGGTAAGTGGATTTTGTAGCCCATAGATCTACATTTATACTTCATTAAGAATTAAAATGCAAATGCGTTGTCACTTGTCACCGCTGAGGACTAAGACGGAATGCCTCGTTTCCAGTAAAAAGGGTCTCCGGTTCTGTACACTCACCATACGAAACACAGCAGCATTAAGCTGTAATTTACGCTGTTATTCTGTGTGTGGGAGCGTGGTCTTATTACGGTTGAGCCGACCTATTCATGCTACAACGATAATATAGTTAAAGCTTGACTCTACCACGTATTTAGTTATATTTCGACAAAGTTTCATTTACATAAACCGTCATATTTTTTTTTACTAAATCGATGTGTCGACATCTCTCCCTTGCATTAATAAAAAAAAAATTGCATATAAATTTATAGTCACAGGGGTCAATCTCTTTCATTGCACTCGGGTAGTCTATCAAAATTTACACAGGCTTGAACCAAACCACGATCACAAGTCGTGATCATGAATATATTCTTAGGTTACACGAACTAAGAATTTTGTTGATTTCAATGAGACGACCGTTACATTTAATGTCCACATGACCGCTTACGAAAGTTACTTTTCAAAACGTCAATAACGAATTACATTACAGTAAACTTGTTATTTTTTGCCAAAAATTCGTTTCGTTGATTTCGAATAATAAAATCGTATTATCGCACAATCTCAACGAAATATGGAAAAAGGAAATACTTCGATATTCAAATGATTGACATCTCGCCGGGCGGTCAACCGCTGATTCTTTGAGCTGATCTCAGCGTTTTGCAAATTTCTCCCCTTGCTTCCCTCAGCTTCCGTCAACCATTGTTACACTTAAATCTGACCACGATAAAGCCGATTGTGATCGATTCGAGATTCGAGCTCTGATTATTTAAAATACGTTACGTATTTTTAAAATTTTCAACGGTTTTTAATTTTACCTAAAAAAATCCCTGTCAGAAATGAGAAGCGCCATTTGCTCAGTAATATCACGTACATAAGCTGATTTCTACTGCTTTATTTTTTTTATACTAAAACACTAATTTGTGCAAAAAATTTTCACACAGTTTGGTAATTAATAAAAAAATTAAAAACGAATAATTATGTACACGGATAACAAATGCTAATGTTTTTAAAACCAGTTATGTACACATCTATTTAAAACATATTTTTTTCTTTGTTATGACCCTGTTCAATTAATAGGTCTGGGTAAGTAATAGGAACTTATCTTTTACAATAATAATGCGTCTCAGCGATAAAAAAAAATACTAGAAGATTATAACGAACCCAAAATTACTGATGACAAAAATAAGTTGACGATACGTATATTATTTATTCTGTGCTGACGATGACAAGTCTTAAAGGCGCTAAAATAGCCAAACAATTTCAGGTTTTTATCACAGGCGGAGACTTGTAATAAATAAAATCCTACTATTATTAATATTATTATTAGTGCGAATTTTGGTGCGACATTTACTTCAAAGCGTTCTAGGTATATAATTGCAATAAACGATTTTAACAAAGTAGTTAGCTTGTTTGCGATCAAGCTTTCAACGACCACGACTTTAAGCGCGAGCCGAATACGAAACTACGTTTTAACACATGCGTTTAGAGTAAAATATTTCATAATTTATTAATCATTACAATTTTAAGGAAGATAATGATTATTTTATAATGTCCTTCCAATGTTGTTATCTCGATACAATGTCTAAAAATACACGTCAAATGTGGTAGGTAAATTATAATGAAAATTAGCAAGATTCAAATTCAGTACTAGAAATTGCTTATCTCACAAGCTCGCAACGTACAAGTAACGCCTAAGTATATGTAAAATATCTAATCTAAATTTAAACCAGCAGTTATAATTGTTCCATTCCGACACTCGTTTGTGGTATAGATACGCTTGCAGATGGCAAGTAAAGCGACGGGCTCGCGTGCGCTACTTGTGCCACCCTACCAAAACACCATTGTCGTGAGCACAAAAAACGCACCCAGATTGTTTACCTCACTTTTTACTTTTTTTATAACTTCTGTTCGCTTCTATTATGAGTATTTTCGTCGCGGCACACGCGGCTAACGCCTTTGTACGGATCTCATTGATGCGTTATACGTCTCCATTATGATCGTCAATGTCGAAGCAATTCGTTTTTAAATGCACATAATCGGTGGATTTATCGAACCCTCTTTATTTCTTAATTTGTTGACGCTCTCAGTAGTGCTGCGACTATTTGAGCGTCAATTTTAAAAGTACCTTCATGATGTGTTTTTATTTGATTACATAAATTATCTATATGTGAGTTAATTACGTAATGACTTAAATATAAAACAAAGCAATTTTATAAATTTTTATTTATATTTGTAATTTACATTGTATTGTATGTTACAAAAGCTTTTTTATGAACATTAAACAGTTTAAAGCAAATTTATTAAGAAAAATAAATATCTTTCTGTCTAGTCTAGTCTATCTAGTCTTTCTGTACGAAAAGATGATCAATCAACGCATTAATGAATAATTGTTAATACTGTCTCCAGAAAATTATTCAACTTTCTGCAAAACATTATTTATTAAAGTTTAAAAGACGAAAGACAAGATCGTTATTGAGAGCATCGAGAAAAAAATTGTATTATACAATTCGATAGATTTTTCTTACAATTAGAGTAGTTATTATTATTTAATGTAAAAAATGCATGCATGAGCAGATTCATTTCGCTACTAAGTTCATCATCATTTGGGTTTTTATGAATTCCAAAATCCACAGCCAATTGAAATTGCTTCCACCATCAGCAGCTGTTAACGGAAGCTAAGTACTCGTTGTATTTCTTTTCTTGAGCTTGTTGGAGTTTTTGCAGTTTTTTTATCATGCCCTTGCTCATTTCCTTGCCCTCATGGTCATGTGTAGGTAGACCCTACAAAGAAAACAGAAAATTCACATAAAATGTAACAAAGTAATCGATTTGTTTTTTATTTTACATGATTTATATTTTTAACGTGATAGAGTAACGCTCCAGCTATACGGTGACTGCGACCATCACTAATAGGTCGGCTCTTTCGAGGAAGGACCTCGTTCTTACAGAATACCAACGTAAAATAGCAGCTTAATGCACTTGGTTTCGTATGGTGAGTGTAAACAACTGAAGAACTTTTTTACTGGTGACAGGTGGCAACGCATCTACATTTTGATTCTTTATGAAAGTACTTGCCTTACTATAACTAACCACTATACTTAGCAAAATTTAGATGCGTATATAGTCTATGAGCCACACAGCCTTACCATCAGGTGGACTAAACTCGTTTGTCAGCCTTATTCTATAAAATAATCAATGTTTAGAACAATTTCTTTACACTATATTTAGGCCTGAATTCCTCCTACGCTGACGTCGGTTGCGTACGGTCGGTCGCGAACCCGTATGCGCCGCTGTTGTCAGCGTCGTAGTGTGTGGCTATATAGAACACAATGAACATTAGTACGCGCGACCGACGTCAGCGTAGGAGGAATTCAGGCCTTAGTCTAAATAACTTTTTGTTTATAGAATAGGGTGACAAACGAGCACACAGTCCACCTGATGGTAAGTGGATACTGTGGCCCATAAATATCTGCATCTATCCTCGATTACAAATCAAAATGCAGATGTGTTGTCATCCGTAAGAGCTAAGATGGAATGCCTCGTTTCCAGTAAAAAGGGTGTCCGGTTCTCTACACTCACCATACGAAACACAGCAGTGTTAAGCTGCTATTTTACGCTGGTATTTTGTGAGAACGTGGTTCTTCCCCGGTCGAGCCGACCTATTCGTGCTACAACTATACTACTAATATAACTGCAGCATAGCTCTACCACGTGTAGTATAACTATACCTTGTCATCAAATTTCGAATATTTGTCCGTTTCACGTTTAAACATCTCGGTTGGAGGAATTTTCTTCTGTTCCTCTTTTGCACGTTGCGCTTCTAACAGTTCTTGTTTTTTCTTCTGCTTCTCAGCCTCAGCTCTTTTCTTCTCTTCTCTCTCCTTCATTAACTCTTCTTTACTCACCAGTTTCACGACTGTGCGATCTGATAAAAGAAATACAATGTTTGTATATAAAATCCAGCCCTTTTAAAACATTTAAAAATAATTCTTTACAGAAAACCATTATTTTTAGTGAATGTAATAAAGTGAACATGATAAACGTGTCCGTTACAAAAACTTTGTTGCTATTGGATGGTAAACTAACGTTCTCAAGTGCCGGAAACTTCTAGCTAGGCGTAAAGATTCTAGAAAATTTTCTTGAGATGAGATATTCAGAATATTAATGAACAGTTATGGACTATTCTAAAGTGTATTAGTTGATGATGATAATAACAAATATTGATTCAATCAATCAATCAACCAATACTCACTATTGTACAAAATTGAGGGAACAAATGAAAATAAATAAATATTGAGGGGAAAACAAAAGGCGGTTCTTTTTGCTACATAGCAATCTCTTCAAGACAACCGACAAAAATAATTTTATAAAAATTAAAGAAAGAATAACGGGTAGGGTGCCCTAAAATAAGAAAGGATACCAACTTATGCAAAAAGACACAACATACTAACACTGCACGGGGCAAATAGAGCGATAAAACCATAGCGACCTTTTCCACGCTATCCGTGGACTTCTGCAACATCCGGGACTTCACTCGAACCTTAACGCCGTCCACTACCATCTAGAGACGGCGAAGCCGGCCTTGCTCTTTTTGACCGAGACGCAGGTGTCCTCTCCAGCTGATACTTCGTACTTGTCCTACCCGGGGTACAAATTAGAACACCTCTTTGTGCCCCGGGCTGGAGTTTGCGTATACGTCAGAGAGAATATCTGTTCTCAACGCCTCGGCAGTCTTAAAGGTACGGACCTGTCCATCCTATGGGTCCGTGTAGACAGCGACGACCATCCCCTCGTCTACGGGTGCCTGTATAGTTCCCATAGCGGTAATTCCGACACAGACCTACTCATCGACCAGGTCCAAATGGTTACAGATTTCTTGCTACAAGAGGTCCCATCCGTAGAGATCGTGATACTTGGCGATTTTAACGCCCACCACGCTGAATGGCTCGGTTCACGTTTAACCGATCATGCGGGGAGATCTGTTTATGACTTTGCCTTGGCATATGGTCTGACACAACTGGATACTTCGCCTACGCGGATTCCAGATGTGGAGGAACATACACCTTCCCTGTTGGACCTTTTGCTGATCTCTCATCCGGACGGATATCAGGTTTTCGTTGATGCCCCTCTCTCCTCTTCGGACCATTGTCTGATCCGGAGTGTGGTGCCACTCACGCTCACCTCGAGGTAGCGTTCTGCAGGTTGCCGCCGCGTTTAGTATTACAGGTCGGCGGATTAGGACGGCATGCGGCCTTTCTTTGCATCCTACCCATGGGGGCGGGTTTGCTTCTCGCCGCATGATGCCAGCGCTGTTGCTGACTCTGTCACCGATGTGGTGCTACAGGGAATGGAACTATTTATTCCATCATCTGTGGTACCCATCGGAGGCAGATCTCAGCCTTGGTTTGGTCGCTCCTGTAAGACTGCATTACGCAGTAAGCAGGAGTGATATCAGGACTGGGCTGAGGCTTCGGCGGCTCGGGATGTAAATACCAGCATGCTTAAAAAGAAGTATAATTTCGCCTCCAGGTCCTTCAAAAGAGTTATTGCCAAGGCAAAGTCAGAGCACATTGGCAGAATTGGCGAGAAACTAGTTCGCCTTCCTTCGGCAACCCGTGCATTCTGGTCTCTCGCCAAGGCTGTCCAAGGAAATTTCTGTAAGCCATCACTACCATCTCTGCACAGGGAGGATAACTCACTGGCCCACGCCGCAAAAAAAGCCGACCTTTTAGGCTCCCTTTTTGCGTTCAACTCGACTCTGGATGACAGGGGGAACACACCGCCGACCATCCCGCAGTGTGAGTGCTCTATGCCTGATGTGCGATTCACACAGTACTCAGTAGGCAAAGCATCCCTCTCTCTGGACATCCACAAGTCGAGTGGGCCTGACGGAATCCCGCCAATTGTGCTGAGGACGTGCGCTCCAGAGTTGGCACCGGTTAAAAGCGTCTTTTTCGGTACTCCTACTCTTTAGGCGTAGTCCCGAATTCATGGAAGACAGCTTTCGTGCACCCGATCCCTAAAAAAGGTAACCGCTCTGATCCGTCCAATTACAGGCCTATCGCCATCACCTCCTTGTTCTCGAAAATAATGGAGTCCATTATTAACTGCCAGCTCATGCGGTACCTTGAGGAGCACCAGCTGATTAGTGACAGCCAGTACGGTTTCCGTCGGGGTCGCTCAGATGGTGATCTTCTTATTTACCTAACACATAAATGGGCGCAGGCGATTGAGTCCAAGGGGGAGGCATTAGCCGTTAGTTTGGACATAGCGAAGGCCTTCGATCGGGTCTGGCATAAAGCGCTTCTTTCGAAGCTTCCTTACTATGGGCTTCCCGAGAAACTGTGCAATTGGATCATCAGCTTTCTGGCTGATCGGAGCATCAAGGTCGTAGTAGACGGTGCATGCTCCGATTACAAGCCTATTTAACGCTGTTGTTCCACAAGGCTGCGTGCTATCAACAACGCTGTTTCTTCTGCATATCAATGATATGTTGCAAACCGGTAACATACATTGCTATGCAGATGACAGCACTGGTGATGCTCTATACACCGGCCATAACGTCGCCGAGTACCGGAACAAATTTGTGTTTGAAGTCGAGACTTTGTTGAACAATGTCTCGGATTGGGGGCGACTAAATCTAGTCAAATTCAATCCCCAGAAGACACAAACTTGCGTGTTTATCGCTAAAAGGAACCCCTTTATCGCATCTCCTCAGTTTCAAGGCACTCCCCTTGTTGCCTCGGCCTGTATCGGAATCTCGGCGTCGACATATCGAGTGACGTGCAGTTTCGACTTGGAAGAGAAGGCCAAATTGGCCTCTAAAAAGCTTGGCGTGCTCAGCAGAGCGCGACAGTATTTCATGCTGGCACACCGCCTGCAACTTTACAAGGCGCAGGTTCGGCCTCACATGGAATACTGTTCCTATACCTGGGCAGGGGCTCCCCAGTGCCAGCTCCTTCCACTTGACCGCATCCAGCGCAGAGCGGTTCGAATCGTCGATGACCGGGTTCTTTCCGATCGGCTTGACTCACTGGCACTGCGTAGAGATGTTGCATCTCTTTGCGTATTTTATCGCATTTACCATGGGGAGTGCTCTGAGGAATTGTTTGGACTAATACCAGTCGCTCAATTTTACCATCGCACATGGCGACAAAATTTGCAATACCATCCATACCACCTGGATGATTGGCGGTCCACCATTGTGCGATTTAGAAGATGTTTTCTTCCTCGCACAACTTTCCTGTGGAATTGATTACTACCAGCGATTTTTCCGGACCGATACGACTTAGGGACCTTCAAGAAAAGAGCCTACTCCTTTTTAAAAGGCCGGCAACGCATCTGCAGTTTCCCTGGTGTAACCGTTGTTCATAGGCGGCGGTAATCACTTACCATCAAGTGAGCCGCATGCTAGTTTGCCCCCTCTACTATAAAAAAAAAACGCACTAGAAATATACAGGGTTATTTTGCAATATACGATCAAATTTGTAGAGAAGGTTCAGAATAAGTATTATAGACGAATGGTGAAGAAAAATTAATTTTAAAAAAATGCCAAAGATTTTGTTATTTTTACTTGTTAAATTCAGAATGCGATGTAATGTATTATTTTAATTGATTGTCATTAATAAATATCTAGCGCCTACTATTTTATTACGCACGCACACATTCGTAAGGACCGATAGGTCAGCAAAAACGTTGTGAATTGAATTTCACACAGACAGGCGCGCGTATACGCGTATGCGCGCTCTTCTGTGTTGCCCATAAAATGCGATCTGGGATAGTTTAAAAAAAAAAGTAGAAGCCCTATTTACTCTTATTATCAAAAACTGCAATAACGGTATATCATTATTTATATATTTAAAGTTAAATCTAAAATTTAGCTACTCATTGAAAAATAAGCCTGTATATCGAATCGATCATTCTCACCGGCTCTGTCCTCGAGGCGCACGCCCAGCTCGGGCAGCACGCGGTCGCGCAGCTCGTCGCACAGCGCGAGCACCTCGGCCGCGCCCACCGCACGCGCCGCGTCGCGCACCCGCGCCCGGAACCCGCCCAGCGCTTCCAAGTACGGCAGCACCGCCTCTTCTAACTGTCACGTTTTACCGCGTTTTTACTAAGTCACTTTCTTATTTATCAGTCTGTCGCTCCGGACTTGCAACTAAATTTCGAGCACACACACGAACACTCGAGAGAAATTTTGAAAATAACTCTGAATCAGAAGACAATGTAGGAAAAGAAACGTTGTATATTAAATTTTTTTAGTACATAATTGACTTGATTATTCAAAAAAATAAAAATCAAGAAACTTAAACCGTGTTGTGGCGGTGTAAGAATATCCACTAGAGGAAAACTGAAGATGGACCATAGCGTCTTCGTTATAACAACAAAATATAAAAAAGCTGCTGTTACCAATCCGCCTGCCACACGTAGTAACTATGGCAAATATCCCCCTTATGAGGCAGTCTATACAGAAACCTATGTGCAGCAGTGGACTTTAATAGGATGCAATAAAAAAGTGAAAAAATCCACAGAATACATAGCAACTTAATACTGCTGTAAGTGTAGAGAACCGGGCAAACTTTTTACTGTATACGAGGCATCTGCATATTGATTCTTAATCAAGGATAAACGTAAATGTCTATGGGCCACAGTATCCACTTACCATCACATGGACTTTGTGCTCATTTATCGCCCTTTTTATATATAAAAAAAAAACAGATTGAAGAGTAATAGTTATCAATTGAGGAGGCCCATGTTTGGCAGTGGACTTGTGACGGACTGAAATGAAGATAAAATGTGCCTGAACAGTACAAATTAAAACAAAGAAAAGTAACACAGGAAATGCTTAAATGCTCATTTTATTAATTTTTTTGAAACGAGTGACGCCTTTCAATCACCAATTAATCAAGTTTATTAGCTGCGCCATAATCTTTGGTATCTTTTATTCCCATTTTCTTGGAAATGCAATTTTAATTTTACTAATAAATCCGCTGTTTTGACAATTCATAGATTATTAGTTACTAATACAGCCATTATACAGTCGCCTAAAAAGACATTTAAAAATCAAATACTATTAAAGCTGTCTTGACGACGCTTTTAAGTTACTGTTAAGAAATAATTAGTTAAATAAATCTACGAAAATAAGATATTCCAAGACAGATATTTCCAAGTTAATTTGGTTTTGTTTTCCTCCACATTTATTAAATAAATAATAATTTAAGACACAAAGTTTAATCACTCTTGGAAGGTCGCTTATGAACAATTAAAGTACCTATATAAAGAATATACGTTTTAAAAAAATTATTTTTCTTAATCACTGTGAGGAATAATTCCTATTGAAAATTATGTAACAATAAATATTATTAACTTTAACAAAAATAGAATACGATTAAAATATTTCATACTATTCGATAATTACCTCTAGTTTGAATGAATACAATATTTTTAAATACATAAAATTTAAAACTTATCAACAACACATTTATTTAAGTATGTAGTGTCGGTTTCAGAATATCTAGCGCTCATTTCATATCCTACTTGATGGGTTTCGTAAGAGGCGAAATAGGGACACTGAATCAGAAAATGCCCCCCCCCCCCCCCCCCCATAAACTATCTATGGGGATGGCCTACGTTCAGCAGTGGACTTTTGATAGGCTGTAGAGATAATGGTACATTTATTAAAGTTTAAATAATATAAAGTCATACTTACACAACTACCCTCAGTATCCCCAACAGGGAAGCCTATTCCTCCTCTTGGTCCTTCTACGGCGCCGAAGATGTGCAAAATATCAGTAACGTAGCGTGCCGAGGCGGCCAGCAGCGGCGAGTTGCGAGGGCTGGTCTGACGTAAGTAAATGTGTGCCGCCGCTACCAGCTCTCGTAACGAATCTATCGCGCCACGAGTATCGATGTTATCTTAAAGTAAACACATGGAATTAATAAGTAAAACAACATAATCGATCATTCAAATCAAATAAAGAGAAGAATAAAAAAATCATGCTGACCGATTTCGATTATATGACTTTTTTAGTGGTCGTAAGCGCGACTGTTGATCACGAGGTCCCAGATTCGAATAGTTAAAAAATTCTGAGTAAGCAGTACAGAGTCAGGAAGTTGGCGGTATCTCTAACACTCTACGGTTGTCTAGAATTTCCTTCCCATATCGGAGTATGAGTGATTAAAATTGGTTGAGGCTGTGACTGAATTTCGGTCTATAGGACATTATCTTCTACCTATATATAATAATTAAAAATTTTGTACAGCCGACTTTAATATAAGTTATTAAGAATAACTCAAAAACTATTGGTCTGACATTGATCAAATTCATATGGGACCACACGAGAAGTACCAGCTTTGAAATAAAAAAAGAATCAACGAAATCGGTTCACCCAGAAAAAGTTATGAGGTAACACACAAAAAAAACATACAGTCGAATTGAGTACCGTCTCCTTTTTGGACGTCGGCAGAAATTCAATTGCTGTCCGTTAGTCTCGCTAAAACTAAAAAACGGCTCGACCAATTTTGATGTTTTTTTGTGTGTATTTGAATAGGTCCCTAGATAGTTTAGATTCACATTTGGACCTGGTAGGTGGTACTGTTGTCGAGATTCAGAAATCACCCGTGCGAAGCCGGGACGGATCGCTAGTTTATTATAATACAATACTACTGTTAACCTACAAAACTATATTTAATTACAAATATCACCAACCACAAAGAGCCGCGTGCACTTGATCCTTCACGGCACTTAGCTTGGCAGAGAGGTGTTGTTCCTCGGGACCCCACAAGCCTCCACATCCCTCCTCGTAGCCACTTCTTAAAGCATCTTTTACAGTTAGGAAAAATTCCTAAAAGAAAAACATTTTTAATAAATAATATAAAAGCACTATTTCTGTACACAGATTTTTTTTTAAATTTGTGGCTTACTTATTGGTCGGGGAATAGTTTTTTCGTATTTTGTTTGTATAAAATTAAAGAAAAATTGAAAAAAAAAATTAAGAAAAATCTCTTCGGTTGTACTGTTTGTATTTGGCTGGTTTTAATATCAATACACATAGGACATTAAGCAAAAAAAAACTTTTTATTTTTATTTTTCACTTTCCGCCATTTTTGAATTTTTTCTGTCCGCCAAATTGAGTGAATCTAACGAAGAAACTCGATACATTCTAAAGTTTTATTACAAAAATGTAGTTTAGAGTCAAAAGTAACATCTAGATCTCTGGTTACTCCATAGTGTGGTGTATTTTATAATCATCGGATATACAAATAAATGATCGGATAAGGTATAGGATTTATGGATTTAGGTTGTAATACTTTTTTTCTACCAAGGAATCTGTCTGGGGTAGTAACTAGTCGTATGTAGTTCGCGAACAATGAACGATTAAGAAATGTATCTTATAACTGTACTAGAAGAAACGTTTCCGAACGCAGATTGTTAATCGGTCTATTAACTTTTTTCGTACACCTACGCACGAACGAATGAGAGCGTACGAGAGCGACTGAGCGCGGAATTCGGTGATCGGTGAGTATGTCATTCGGACAATAGCCAACGACTGCCTATAATAGCATTGACAGATTTCATTTATTGCGCTGTTTTACATGAAAAATTATTATTTATCTATATATAATACAACAAAAATTATAAATACATATTATCAATTTTATAAAATTTAATCAATTGGATTTTCAACATTACTTTCATCAATTTTATGTATCTGAACGTGACATCCCAAAAGTGCCCGACGTGCCTAAAGAAGTTTTTAGTTCAAAAATTTGCACATCAACAAATACTTATTCGCTACTAGAAGCTTAGTTAAATCACTGTTTTACTTACATTAAACAACTTTTCAGTCTGTATCGCCATTTCCATAGTATTATCTGAGTAGTCTAAAGTTTCCTTCCAGCCGTGCAACAGAAATGCTATCCGCAACTGACGTGCGGTGTGCCGCTTTAACGCGTCAGAGATCGTGACGAAATTCTTCAAAGACTTGGACATTTTACATCCAGCGATTGTTAGATGACCAGTGTGCAGGAAATAATTCACCCACCCGGGTTCATCGAAATGTGCCTATATTAAAAATGTACAAAAATGTTAAAATAATGGTCTTCAGTATAGTAATATTAGTATTAATTGATAATAATGTCCTCCAGACCGAACTTTGGTTTCAGTGACCAGTCTCAACGGAGACTGCTCAGATGCGCTGTGCTGATGGTTATGCAGTACACAATTATAGTGCACGTATTTCCTTACTCTTATAGTCCGATGGCAATCTAACACGTCCAGAGATAGATCAGGCGCAGAACCAATCACTATGTGTTTTTCGAGGCATGGGAGTGAAACAACGCCAACTTCCTGACCCCGGGCTGTTACTGAGAATTTCTTGACAGAAAAACCGAATAACTGATTTAGTTCCGACCCGGGATTCGAACCCGATATCACATGATCGGCAGTCACCACTAGACCAAAAATTCAGTCATCATGTTATATGCCGACAAAAATGATTCTACATATTCCAACGCGATAACTTATGCAAATAAAATAAAAATCATAATGTTATATTAGTATTTCATTATTATAAACATTAATATATTATGGTTGTAGCACGAATGGGTCGGCTCGAAGGACCATGCTCCCCAAAAACAAACACTGGCTTATTTATTATAATTATTAGTAAAAAACAAAACTTATTATACGTGGTAGAGCCATACTGCAGCTATATTACTGGTATAGTTGTAGCACGAATGGGTCGGCTCGACCGGGGAAGAACCACGCTCTCACAGAATACCAGCGTAAAATAGCAGCTAAACACTGCTGTGTTTCGTATGGTGGGTGTAGACAACCGGAGACCCCTTTTACTGGAAAAGAGGCATCCCATCTTAGTCCTCACGGGTGATAATGCATCTGAATTTTGATTTTTTACTGAGGATATATGTAGATATCTATGAGTCACAGCAACCACTTACCATCAGGTGGACTGTGTGCTCGTTTATCACCCTGAATCTATATAAAAAAATAACTTAAAATAAACAAATCTGTGATGGTGAGCAGTTTCAAAGAATCAAAGGTATGCTATACTAGGTGATGAGGTCACAATACGCCTGCTAAGCGTGGCGCTTATAGCATCATATTATTACAAGGAGAGTGACCTATGGATCCAGCAAGTAAAATACACGGGCTAATTTTAAATAAATAAATACATTGTTTGATTAGCCCTCACCTCGCTTTGGGCCAATTCATTATCATGGTGTGGAAACTTCAAGTCGACACCACCTGTATGTATGTCTAACTTTGATCCACACACATCTGACGCCATGGCGGAGCACTCAATGTGCCAGCCCGGTCTTCCAGCTCCCCAAGGTGATTCCCACGATGGCTCACCCGCCTTGCTGCGCTTCCACAGAGCGAAGTCGTTTGGAGATCGCTTCTCAGCCGTATCACTAGAAAGATCTCCTGAAAAATCAAACGTATTAGTTTACAACGGGCTATTTCCGCAAATCCACGTCTAAAGCTCGTATTTTGCGTGTGGTCAGGAATAATTTAGTTATTTTAAGCCATGCTATCTCCTCTAAGAATTTTAGAAAACCGGTTACTGACAACGTCGCGGAGCGATCTCGGTACGTCGGACAAGCCAGCAGTACGTGTGCCGCCGTTTCATTCTCTCATGCAAGATTCGCACATGGGACTCTCTGTAACACCTATCGTAAACAAGCGCTTGTTAAAAGAACCATGTCCTGTAATAACACTGGTTACTATCTAGCTCTAAGATTTCTTTAGCGTATTAGGGCCTTGGGGATGCATCTGTTTATTGCGAATCAAACGTGATAAATAGTTATCGTGGCAGAGGCACGATGCAGTTATAGGTTCAACCAGGGAAGGACCATGCTCTCAAAGAAAACCAGCATAAAATAGCAGCTTAATATTGCTGTGAATCGTATGGTGAGTGTATAGAACTGAAGACTAATGTATATAACGTATTTACATTTTGATTCTTAATCGAGGATAGATGTGTCTATGGGCAACGCATCCACTTATCATCCGTCCACCACCGTGCGGTCGGTTGTTATCCTAATTTATAGAATAAGGGTGCGGTGCTAAGACATAATGTAAAGAACAATTAAAGTCCGAACTTCAGAAGCTGTTATGTAATTTTTTTTAATTATTTGAATCCGGCATTTACTTTTATTTAAAAGTTTAATTTTTTAACTATTTAGTATTTAGCTTACTATTTAGTGTTTAGCTAGGTAAATAGTTACAGCAAAAACTTTTTACCCTAATTTCCTACTATTTGGAGTAGATTTTTTTCTCCAAAACTTATATGGGACGCCCCTTCTAGTATAATCTATTTAAATAAAATAGAATCATTAAAATCGGTTCACAATTGACGAAAATTTAGCGTAATTGAATTGAGAACCTTCTCCTTTTTTCAAGACACCTAAAAAGGAAAAGACGAACTTACATACATACACCAAAATAAGATTATTCTCCTATGTATGATCATGTAAAAATATTAAATACACTTTACTATGAAAACAAATTACCTTCTCCTTCTTGTAAGGATTTTGTGTCTCCATACGCTTCGGGGACAAGACGAGCATAATAATGTTTATCTTTGCCATCAAATTCACTCACATTAAAGTAGACAGAACCATTTGATTCATATGCCAAGCCATTGTCTATTATCTTTTGTATAAATGCTATTATCTGTGGTATATATTCACTAACCCTTGTAAGTACATCAGGTGGCAAAACCTATAAATAAAATTTGTAATTGTTAATAAATAGGAAAATCATATAATTTTATAAACAAAGTATTAACTTTTTTCTATTTGTTACTAAGGAGAACTTATATTGATTTTAATAACTAGTAGTGCCATGCCTACTCTCCTAGAGGACAGTGGTAAGAGTTTATGTATATATGCGTGAGTATTATGTGTTATTGGCGACAAAGATATTGAATTCAGAATCAAGAAGGTAAAAATGTATTCTTCACTTATGCAATGTCATCAATTCTCACCAAAAACGAAAATTAATTAAATACGAAAATGAACAATATCAAATGAATGAGTAGTATTTCAAAAAGTACAGAAAGGAATTAAAAATGAAAAAAAAAACAGATGAAACAGAACAAGAAGGAGAAAATAAAATACAGACATGGATTGCAAGAGCATTAAACAATTTAAAGACGAAACCTCTATAATTACAAAATGTTGCGTTAAACGTACCCGAAAAGGTCCATTACACTGGTGGCGCTCATTGGTGTTTTAATTTTATGCAATTGAAGCAATATTACTTATTACAACAGTATTACTACATACATTTAAAACCTCCAATGACATAAAAACTGACAATCGCAATTGACCGTTTGTTGCAACACATACTATTATTATCTTTAAATAATTTTACGTAAATTTATTTAAAGAGTATAATAACAATAATAATTACAAATGGGACAAGTGTCAGTTTTTCCCCATTTGTTATTATTATTATTTATGTGCATATATATGTAGGTATAGGTATAATTGCCGGATACCTATAACGCAAAATCTGACGGAACGAATAGACGACCAGACCAGCAGTAGAATCACTGCTTGGGGAAAGCGGATTCGGCGAAAAACCGAGATATACTAGACGAGATATCGACACAGTTCAACTAAAATCGCCTCTTCTAGAGTGATCAGAAGAGCTCTATAAATCATTGGAGCGACACTGTCGCATACTGGCGCGGCCTATGGTCAGAGACCGTAAACCACAGCAAGAGCCCTTGGACGGAAGTTGTGGCGAGTCAGTGTACTGAGTATACGCCTATGGACCCCGTCATCATAACGCCGGACGATGTAGCTGAGGCTCAAGACAAAAGAGAAGACTCAAAATTGAGGTCAGTGTCTTATATGTGTTAACATATAAGACACTGACATCAATTTTGAGTGCGAGAATCACTCATCACCTCTATTTAATTAGGTGACTCGAGCTGTCCTAGGTTGACTGTATAGTAAGAGACTTCCTCGGGCAGTGTATAGAGCAGCGCAGTACAATCCTTTGTCATCTAGGCAAGTGGATGACGGCTGCGAAGAGCCGCACAAGGATAAGAAGAGGTCTCTCCTCTCTCTCTCTCTCTGAACCCTCTCAGTACCTCATTGGAGGGCTCCGATAATTGGTGGTAACACCAACAACTGTCGGAGATACATCTTAAAGCATGGCACCGTCGACATCTATCGAGCATGCCGCCATTCCGATGAGTCACTTAGGTATGTTATTTCCGGTTGTTCTGCAGGATTCTACACCAGGAGCTCGCTCTGAAATATGGTCTTGTATATGTACTTTTTTTTTTTATAGTATAGGGTGACAAACGGGCACACAGTCCACCTGATGGTAAGTGGTTGCTGCGGCCCATAGACATCTACATCTATCCTCTATTACAAATCAAAATGTAGATGCGTTGTCACCTGTGAGGACTAAGATGGAATGCCTCAGTTCCAGTAAAAAGGGCCTCCGGCCACCTGCACTCACCAAGCGAAACGCAGAGGTAAACCTCTACTTCACGCTGGTTTTCTGTGAGGATGTGGTACCACCCCGGTTCGAGCCGGCCCATCCGTGCGACAGCGAAAGCTGCCGCGTGGCTCTACCACGTTGAAAACTTATCGTAAACTGCCTTATTATGACTACTTGCCGGTAGCCATGCTCGAAAATGACCGCGCCAGACTCTACTTTGACCGGACCATCATCACAGACAGGACTATTCTTGCAAATAAGCCTCATATTGTAATGATAGACTAGGCACAGTCAAGGGTTTTTTTTTTATAATTTTTATATTTAATATTTTACCCCTGCATGAAAAAGTAAATATGTGGGTGTTGATCAGTATAAAATCCACAAAATTTAAGTCAACAGACAAGGTCCTTCACTGCTGTTCGTATGAGGAATCTTGAAATCACTCAGCGATCTATGCTCGGAGATTCTCTGTGTGATACATTTACAACTGATGATATCCGCAATAAAACAAAAGTAACCAACATAATCCAACAGATTAGTAAACTAAAGTGGCAATGGATCGACCATATAGCTTGAAGAACCAACAAGCGATGGCATTGAATTACTATGATAAAAGAATTTGTTAATATTTGAATACTAAAAATTTATGAAAAAATTAATTGTGATGAAAAATAAAGACAAAAATGTTCTAAATCAAAAATAATTCATAGTTAAGTAACCAGACTATATGTCTACCTATAGATATATGCATCGTTTTTCTGCTAACGAGCAGTTGTTAAAGCTCTGTTTGTCATTCAGCAATATGCACTACACTGCTGGTGAGATAGATATTTCTTATTTTTAAATGTGTCAAAATAAAAAGTAAGAACTTCTCTCAATGGCACATGGACACATTGCACTTTTTGTTATATAAAATAATATTTTAATCATTATTGAAAATAGACCTTATCTATCATTGACCACGACAATATTATGTAATTATTTACCAATATTTTTTCAATAACTTACGTTGAGTGCTTTCATATCATTATGAAATTCATTTTCCCAATACCTTGGTAATGATGTGAAAATTGCATTATCTTTTACAGTGGCTCCAAGTTTCTTGTCTAACCATTCTGATATAGGATCTTTAGCTGACTTCAATAAGTCACATTTAGCTTTCATGATATTTTCATCAATTTTCTTTTCTACAGCTGATTTCAGAGATTTGACAGAAGAAGCAACACTGTAACAAGTAGTTTATATAGAAAATAATAGAATTATAGAACATAATAATTTTTATTCAACATAGATTACATGTAATTCCTATTGAAAGTAATTTTTTACTTTTACCACTGGTTCAAAAAAAAATACCTCTGTGCTGGGAAAAACAAGCAAGAAGTAGTAGTAGTTACTTAGTAGGACAATATTTTTAAAGTAAATTATACAATATGTACAAACTTTACAAATTTTATTTTAGAAACAGTTTGGAAGCAACCACATCATTCCTAGGGATTATTATCAACAATGTATTCATTTATACTATAGTAACCCTTTTTATACAGTTTTGTTTATTAAAATGAATTAAAAAAAATTACTTTGTGGAGTTGAGAAACTGGAGAAACTAGTATCACTAGCTTGTTTGTTTACTTTATAAAACTACTTTTGTTTTTGTGAACATACATTAAATTTTTGTAAATATACTGAGAGGTCAAAGTCAATATATTTGTTTCTTTAAATATCTTGTTCTTAAATATCTTGGTCACATTCTGACTCCCCATCTCAAGGACGATTATGACATAGAGAGGGAATGGAGGACGTTGTCAGTAAGAGTGAACATGGTAGCTCGCAGGTTTTTACGCTGTTTAAGGGCAGCTATAATAACCCTACTCAGAGCTTTCCTGATGTCATTTTATACGTGCAGCCTGTGGGCTAGCTATACTCAAAAGGTTTATAAAGCCCTCGGAGTACAATACAACAATGCGTTTAGGTTACTGCTGGGGTTGCCTCGCTTCTGTAGGGCATCAGAGATATTCGCAGAAGCACAAGTTGTCTCTGACAATACGCAAAAGGTGCATTTTTCTAGTGCACAGGGTGCGGGAGAACAACAATAGCATCCGGAACATGATCGCGAACAGACTGGACTGCTTATACATGTGCCATTGTAAAGCTATATTGGGTGGAATGGTGAGAAAATGGCACATATAATTTTTTTTCATAAATATTGTAATAAATAGTATTATGCCTACTAACCTAGTTATAAGTAATACTAACAAAATAATATGAGCCTTGGTTGCCTGAATAAATGAATTATTATTGTTTAAAATTTTCTCTGAGTAACTACTAATATTGTTCTATATAGAGTTATAAATAGTAGTTACTGAAGTTATAATTCTTACACTTATAAGCAGGGCTCGGAAACCGGTTTAAATTCTTAAAAGGTTTTCGGTTTTTGCGGAATACCAGTTTTTCACAAATTTAGGTTTAGGTAGTAAGAATTAACCGGTTAAAACCAAGTTTTGTAATGTCCCCCCTCTCCCTTACCCCGCTTACACCCAACTTTGTACGGCTGCCCTCTGTTTAATAAACCAAACACAATAACTGCCTTTCTTTCTTCAAAACTTCTCTAATACTTTCATGTTTTTCGTAAACGCCAAACTCCCACTAGACACCCTGATCGTGATTCATAATCGAGGATAGATGCAGATGTCTATGGGCCACAGCAAACACTTACCATCTGGTGGACCGTGAGCTCATTTGTCACCCTTATCCTATAAAAAAAATGAAAAGACAATAAATGCTTTAAAACTTACTCATCTAACATTTTTTGCATTGTATTTTTTTTATCTAAATCCAGAGTTTCTTTTACCACTTGCTCATAATAATCAACAACAGCAGCTGCATCATCAATAGTATCACTAAGAGACCTTGTCTCGCATATATATTTTTCAAATAAATAATTTTGTCTTGCTCTCTTTATTATTTTATCATCAATGTCAGTAATGTTCATTACATAAAGTATATCATATCCAAAATAATTTGACATGATTCTTCTTAAGATATCAAAAGATATGTATGACCTGCAAATACAAGAAATGTTAGTCCAAAAATACTTCTCAAAATTTCAATCATTTTTATTCTTTATTTACCATATAGTAGCCGCATAAAAAATATAAAAATAAAATAATCATATTCATATAATAAAAATAAAAATAATCGGCTTGTTGTCCAACGGTTAAAAATTAGATATTTTGCTTGTCCCTTGACATCCACAATTCTTTTAACTTATCAGCATTGCTTTTCTTTACCATCAGTTCAAAAAAGTCCTTACAGAAGGCATTCAAAAAGGTTTTACAATCAATTCTGATGGGTAGAAAAAACTGTTTGAAAACTGCCTCAAAGTAAATATCACATGAAATACTAATCATACTACACTTTTAATTCGGAGTCTAAAATAACATGATTGATTTAATGATACTAGGTATACTATACTTATAATATAAAAGTTAAAATAGTTTGGTAAAGTAAAAATTAAAAAAAAAATACCTGGCATGTCCCATATGGGAGGCATCATAAACAGTAGGCCCACAGCTATACCAACTAACTTTATTTCCTTTAGAGGGGATAAATTCTTCTTTTTGGCGCGTTAGGCTGTTGTACAATTTCAACACTGGTCGTTTATTTACTGCAGACGGCGATGACCAGTTTGGCTGAGTTCTTTTAGACATTATTTATAAATTTTAAGATAGTAGACTAACACTAAGCCTTCCTTAAGATCTTGTTCAATGCTCGAATGTGGTTTAAATACTTCACATATACCTTATGAAGCAACAAGTTATATTAATACCTTATACCCAGTTATATGTCACGTAGTACTCGAGTAAAATCCAGTGATTTCTACCATTCTACTTTTGATAAGGTAGGTTAACCTAAAATTTAAAAGGTTTTCTTTGACTTTATGACAACTGACAACCAATGGTGTATGATGACGAGATGGCGACACTCCGATTGTCAATATGTCAATTTGACGGTGTCAAAGTCAAACTGATAACGATTGTTGTTTTTTACAGGCAAAGGGATCTACGACTATACAGCGTAATCACATCACATCGCGCGCAGTCAGAAGTAGACGTATCGTGAGTTATTGTGGATTTCTAATAAAAAAATAGAAACTTAATTTTAACGTGATTTATATTTCGAATCTAATTAAGTGGTGCATAAAGTTCAATCTAGTAATATTAGTTTTTTGTCACTTAATTCCTATTATAACCGCATAATACAACGGTGCGACGTGCTGCCAGTGCTGCTCTTCGTCTCACCTTCTCGAGTAAAGGAGACAACCAGCGATTTTTCGTCCTACGCACTGAAATTATGGAATTCTTTAATAATTTTGGGAAGTCACAGAAGAAAGAATTTAAGAGTTTGAAAGATGAAGTGTCTCAAATTAAAGGAGTAAAGGATGACGTCACGATAATAAGGGAACAGCTGGAATCTATAAAAACTAGTACTGTGAAAATTACTCGTGAGCATAATGAGATGATGAATGATATTTCCGAATTGAAAAACTCATTAACTTATCATTCAGCCGAACAAACCACTCTGACAACACGTATTGATGATGTAGTATCGGAAGTCAAAAAGGTTGATCTGCTGCAGCAAAATATGTCAGAATTTCGAGAAAAAAAAGAATCTCTGAAAAATGATTATAATTACATGCAGCGACGTGATCGCGCCATGAACATTGAGATCTCTCAGATCCCCGAAAAAAAATAATGAAATTATCTCAGACTACGTTATTGCAATAGGCAAATACACGGGGATAGATTTATCTGCCGAAGACTTAATTAATGCCCATCGTGTTAAATCACGTGACAGCGACAATAAATTACCAAAAAATATTATGGTTCAACTAAAATCAATCCTCTTGAAAGACAGCATCATCTCTGCTATACGGAAGAAGAAGGGTTTGACTACTATCGACATAGGAATCCCAGGAGAGTCGCGAAATATATATTTTAATGAACACCTCATACCGTCTAATAAAATACTGCTAAAACAAACCAAAGCCGCCGCTAGAAGTGCAAATCCTAAATTTAAATACGTGTGGGTACGTAACTGTTAAATTTATACAAGGAAAGACGACAATTCCCCAAAAATTCACATAAAAAACACTTTAGATTTAAATAAAACTAGCTGTTCCCCGCGACTTCGTTCGCGTGTTAGGGTTTTTATGTTTCTGCGCGGAACCCTGATTCTTTTTCTAAAATAAAAGTAGCCTATGTTACTCCTTATGAAATCAGCTATCTGCCAGTGAAAGTCCCGTCAAAATCGGTCCAGCCGTTTCGGAGATTACCCGGAACAAACAGACAGACAGACAGACAGACAGACAGACAGACAAAAATTTTTAAAATTGTATTTTATTTATAGGTATCGTATTTACTTTCATATGCATTTAGTAAAAAACTGTAATTGTGACATTACAAACAGACACTTCAATTTTATTTATTTGTATAGATTAAATGACTGTTTTACTTTAAGTTGTTGCTTATCTTAAACAGTGTATTCGTTTTGTTTTCTACTATCATGGCTGAATGTTTTCTAAAACCACAAAATGATAATATTTATATGTATACAAACGTTTTTCAAATACTTTATTATATATACTATGTAATTATTATTTTAAATACCGTATATACTATATTTTTTATACCATATTATTATTTATATTTAATATATTATACTCGTACATGCATATACAACTTTTATTGGTATGTGTGGCTAACTTCTCATTTAATTTTGGATTCATGTTTACAAAACAAAAAAGAAATGGTAATTCTTATGTCATTTTTAATGTTAGTGATGTTGAAAAGTAATCAAGTAGTTTTGTTTTTTGTTCTAAATTCATATATGGTTTTTATTAATATACACATAAACTTTTTTTATGACTACAAATTACACTTAATATATGCATACAAATGTAACGATTGCTTGATTAGGAGGATTACCATTAATGTAATATATAATTATAATCTACAAAACTACATAAAATTGTTAACTTCCGACTTTAGTACTTTATTTACAAATACCTACCTAAGTTTATATTCTTACTGTTTGTGTAAAGTAAAGCGTATCATTATAAATTGCAACGTAACTCTGAACACATTATTTTTGTTTGTTTATGATTCATTATTTACATTAATTGTTCTTTGTACGACTTTTAAATCGTTTTTAGCAATCTAAAAAAGGGTTTAACCCTGTACTATCAAAATGTTCGAGGTTTACGTACGAAATGTTATGAACTATAATTATAACAATATTTTATCTCAAGACTATGACATAATCTTATTGACCGAAACTTGGTTAAAAAGTGATATATATAACAACGAAATATGTGACCCTAGATATGATGTTTTTCGAAGTGATCATAATTTTTTATTGTCAGGGAAAAAGGTCGGTGGCGGAGTGTTAGTGAGCGTACGTCGCGAATTGTGTGCAAGTCTATGCGGCCAATGGTCCAGTCCAGTGCACCTACAACACACGAGTCTGTGTGCGTGACTTTACCTGCACGTGCGCTTGGGTCCTCGATCGACTTACATATAGCTATAGCGTACATTCCACCTGAATCTAACGTAATACAGAGTGGACTGAATGATATTAAGCAAAAATTATCGCAATGCATTGGCAATTATCCCATGGATAATTTTTTACTAGTGGGAGATTATAATTTGCCATGTTTAAGATGGGACTCCTACGATTGTATTGCGCACGTCGACGGTTCATCATTTATGGATAATTTAGCGATATCTTTTGTTGATGATTTAGGGTACCTCGGTTTAAAGCAATACAATTATAATGATAATTCAAAAGGTAATATTCTCGATTTATGTTTTTGAAATTCTCCATTAGTTATTAGGACCTCTCTACCACACTTAATGGAAGATGCATATCATCCTGCATTAAATATTGAAATGCGTGATATTAATACACCGCCTTTTAAAAAACGTATACAACCGCGTTTTAATTTTTTCAAATGTGACTACGAGAAGTTAAATAATTATTTTAAAATATTGATTGGCATTCAGAATTAAATGCCGCCGACACAATGAATGAAGCTACTACTAACAATGCTGAACAATATATTAGGTCCAATCCTAAACACTTTTGGAAATATGTCAGTTCAAAAAAAGGCTGTTCCAGTTACCCAAGATAGTTTACACTGGGAGATCAGAAATATGAGGAAGGTGCAAGTATTTGCTCAGCTTTTAATAAATTTTTTGAAAGTGTTTTTATTACACCATCATCAGGTAGCCAAACTCAGCCTTATCACGTTTCGGAATACTCCGATGGTGAGCTCCTATCTTTCTAATCGCTCTCAGGCTGTAGTACTGGGTGGATACAGATCCGATTATGTAACTGTTCCCTCGGGTGTCCCACAGGGATCGCACCTTGGCCCGCTATTCTACAATGCGTACATCTTTGACATTGTCAACTGTTTTTCTCATTCTAATCACCTATTATATGCGGATGATAAAAAAATATACCGGGCAGTTCGTTCTGTTGAAGATTGTAGATTGTTACAATATGACTTGGATAACTTGTTTTCTTTTTATCAACAAAATAAGATCTATGTCAATATTAAAAAATGTCAGATTATAAGCTTTACACGCAAGAAAAATCCATTTGTTTTTTCTTATAACTTTAATAATCAAGTATTAACACGAGTCAAGGATGTACGTGATCTCGGCGTTTGTTTTTACTCCAAGATGCTCCTTAATATGCATTATGATAATATAGCAGATAGAGCTTACCGTATGCTTGGATTTGTTCTAAGAACCTGTCAACCGTTTAAAAGTACTTTAGCATTAAAAACGTTATATTTTGCATACGTGAGTAGTATAATGGAATACGCTAGTCCGGTATGGTCGCCTTTATACGAAGTTTATAAAGAACGCTTAGAGCGTATTCAGAAAAAGTTTTTAAAATCTCTAAATTTCAGGTGCGACGTCACCACGCAAACATTCATGTCTTACAGTGATAATTGTCGTAAATTTAATCTTCTTACGTTAGAAGAACGCTGTGTGATGTTAGACATGGGTTTTTTGTTTGATATTTTACGCGCTCAACTTGATTGCCCTGTTCTGCTTTCACAGATCTCCTTTAATGTGCCCCGACGTAGGACTAGACACACACCGTTATTCAGTGTTCCCTTACATCATACTAATTATGGCAAGAATAGAGTCCTCACCAGAATGGTTAAAATTTTTAACAGTAAATTCTCTCATATTGACCCATTTATCCATTCAAAAAATACATTTAAACTAAAGATAGTACATGCTTTGACAGGAGTAGACAATTAATCTTTATTGTTTATTTTGGTATCCGTGTAGCATCTCAATTTAGGGTATCCGTAGTAGCATCTCAATTTAGATGTCCAATTCGCTAATTGACATAAAAGGAATTTTATATAATGTGTGTATGTGTGTAATGTGTGTATGTGTGTGTACGTGGGTATATTGTATGTATATTTATTTATTTTATATTTATGTATATATGTTTACCTATATGCATAAGTATTTAAATAAATTTAATTATATGTGATGTTGATGTATGTCTACATATGTGTATGTGTGTGTATGTATATGTATGTGTATATATATATTATATTATCTTATTAAAGCATAAATATTTTCCTAGATTAGCCATGACAAACTTAGTATTGTTTTTGATCAAAGTTTTTGTTACTTTTCTTTTCTTACTTCTGATTCATGCTAAATTGTAAAAAGTGGATGACTGTTATTGGCCCTATGTAAAGACATATTATATAAGAATTATATATCACAGAATGAAGGCTGTTGTTATCCCTAATAATATAAAATAAAATAAAAGTAATCTGACGAGTATTCTGTGCACAAAATTCTTCACAATATTATGTTTTACGTCACATTGCCAGTGGGCAGTTTATCACCATAGTATCTCAATGCGCCTAAATGTATAAAATATTAAGATTGGTATCATCATCGAAACACTTTTTACATCATTACGCTTAATAGTATACATGTGCAGAAATCTAATACAAAAATCAAATAACTTTCACGTATTCAAATCTACTTCAAACCATTACTTAAATGATATTACAGGAGTAGTAATCCACTAGCAATTAAGTTCAACCACTGACCACGATTATACAAGTACGCTGGACTGGCTATATACACTGTGACATAATGAGGCGATTTGATTTGATTTGAATGAATTAGTTACATGTTAGGACAGGTATACGTCAAGAAAGGTTAGTTGTTAAAAATAGTAAAAGTGTGAGAGCGGATGTTCAACTTGCTCTCTTGCTTACGCAGTTAATCATTAGTGGCAATAAAACAGCATAACTGCACTATACAATCAGTATAAGCAATTACATTTCTATCAGACCGTATTAGGACTCTTCACAATTACTCACTGGTGTAACGTGAAGGATATAATTACATGATAACACCAAAGTATGTAAACCAACAGCAACACTACCCATCTCAATGTAATACGGGACAGCCCCTCAGCAACACCATCCTTCTTGCCTGCATCAGAAAAATCACCACAACAGACAGAACCACGACTCTATCTTAGCAAGCGTAGAATGACTTCACTCGTAGAATGACTCAAGAGGAATCTCTCGCGCTCTGCACCTACACTGAACTTTATAGTGCACAAACGTGGGGGAGAGGGGGGGTTTTCGAAATACCCTCAATTCAATTTGCTGTGACCCATTGACCTCTACAACTATCCTCAATAATAATAATAATAACGGGTCTGGGCGTCTCCCGTTAATTGACGCTCAACTTAATGGATGATGGTTAAAAATAGAACGCGCATAGGGCCGCTGCCTGGGGGTCGCCGGGGCGCGTCTGGAGCTGGCACTGGACGCGACAGCATGCGAGCCGCCAGCCGAGCGCGAGGTGCTGCACGACCACCTAGCAGCCCCTCGCGTCCATCATCGGCGGGATCCTCTCGGACTCGGCAAGCGGCACCCGCCGCTGGTGGAGTACGCCGCATGCGTTGGACAAAAAAAATGAACATAAACGCATTGCGGGCGTACTATAGGGCGAAAGGGGAAGAAACTGGAGGGACAGCGTAACGGGCTCGGATGCATCGCTTTTTTGCTGAGCTGGAGCCGTCAGTTCCCGTCACAGAGCAAAACCTGGCAGACCAAGTTCGGTACATCATACGCTCGAAAATATTTGATGATGCCGAACTCGAACGACTACGGCGTGAGGCTATTCCCTCATCGAACGAACCAGCTATAAGTAGGGATGCGGCTCCTAATGTCATAGACCAGCAGCCATATGTGGAAGCCGCTATGGATCTTCCCGCTTTGGTTGATTTAGGCGATAATGGAATGGTCACCCAAGAACTAGAGCAGATGAGGAGTAAATTAGAGGAGGCGATTATGGAAACGCGCAGTATGCCTCTCGAAAATCGACCGCGACTTCCCCGCATACCCCTAAGCAAGCGGAATCTGGCTGTCGTGAGGGCTCTCAACCCAATGCTGGTGACCTATTTGGAAGTCAGCCGGGACCTTTGCGAGACGGACTCAATTCTTTTTGGCGCCGCACTGACAGTTTGCCGTATTATTGGCGCCAAACTTCCCACGGCTGGACGCGCTACTAGACAAAGTAGCGCCATCCCAGCCTGGAGAAGAAGGATTGAGGACCATATCGTAAAAGCAAGGGCCCTCATCGGCAGGCTGATAAGCTTTAGGTCGGGCAATAATAGGCCGAGAATTGTGCGCACCGTCAGGATGGCCAGATATAACGCAAAAACTGACGGAGCGCATAGACGACCTGAAGCAGAGAATCGCTACTTGGGGGAAGCGGATACGGCGATATACCGAGAGGTCGACATGGTTCAACCAGAATCGTCTCTTTCAGAGTGATCAGAAGAGGCTCTATGAATTATTGGAGCAGCCAATGGTACGTGGAACGGGCCCAGCACCGAATCAGGCCGATACTATCGCATTTTGGGGCGGCCTGTGGTCAAAACCCGTAAACCATAGCGAGGGCCCTTGGACGGAAGTTGTGGCGAGTCAGTGTGCGAATATTACGCCCATGGACCCCGTCATCATAACGCCGGATGACGTAGTTGAGGCGGTCCGTAGGGCTCCGAACTGGAAAAGTCCGGGGCTCGACGGGCTGCATCACTACTGGCTGAAGGGGTTCGTGGTGTGTCACACTGTGCTCGCCCGACAGTTTCAAGAGGCTCTCGACCAGAAGTCGCTCCCGAGCCTCTTCACTACTGGGATCACTCATTTGGTTCCTAAAGATCAGGATACCACAGATCCGAGCAAATACCGCCCCATCACGTGTCTACCCACGATATACAAGATACTAACATCCATTTTGAGCGCGAGAATCAGTTGTCACCTGAACTCAAATCAGGTGATGTCGCGCGCTCAGAATGGATGTAGGGGCGGTGGTCGTGGAACCAAGGAACCACTCCTCATTGACGCGGTCATTGGCAAGGTGGTTAAACGCAACCGTCGGAACCTCTCCGCCGCCTGGATAGACTACAAAAAGGCATTCGACTCCGTGCCTCATACATGGCTTAAGAGGTCCTCGAGCTGTACAAGGTTAACTGTACAGTTCGAGACTTCCTCGGGCAGTGTATGGGGCAGTGGAGTACGATCCTTTGTCATCTAGGCGAGCGGATGACGGCTGCAGAGAATCACATAAGGATAAGAAGGGGTATCTTCCAGGGCGATTGTTTGAGTCCAATCTGGTTCAGCCTCTCTCTGAACCCTCTCAGTACCTTACTGGAGGGCTCCGAGAGGGGATTTCAACTTCGGAAAGGAAGTACAAAAGTGAACCACCTTTTCTATATGGATGATCTCAAGTTATTCGTCTCCAGTCGCTCTCATCTTATGGAATTGCTAAACATTACTTGTGATTTTAGCAATTCTATTAGAATGGAGCTGGGTTCGGATAAGTGTGCGGTCCTCCATATTGAAAGGGGAAGGGTTGCTAACTCTGAGGGCATAGACTTATCTATGCCCATCAACATAAGGACCCTTTCCGAGGCTGAAACATACAGATACCTGGGTATGTCACAGAACATCGGTGTGGATGAGGCAGGTATGAAACAGTCAGTTTGCGATATGTTTTATGCACGCTTGACCAAAGTGCTTAACAGCCTTTTGTCCGGTGTGAATAAGACGCACGCATATAACGGTTGGATCATGCCTGTTCTCATGTATACCTTTGGCATGCTCAGGTGGACTCAGACAGAACTGAACGCTCTGGACAGAAAAGTCCGCAGTATAATGACGTCCCACAGGATGCATCATCCTAGATCGTCAGTAATGAGGCTGTACTTGCCGCGGAAGCATGGTGGGCGCGGCTTTTTAAGCGCGCTTACCATGCATAATCGCGAAGTGTGCAGCCTCCGTAATTACTTTCTGACGAGAGCGGATGATCCATACTATAGGGACGTTATTTCTTGTGATAAAGAACTTACCCCTCTATCCTTAGCCAACGAGCAATGGCAAGACCCGGCAGTGCAGAGCATTTCCGACCGGGAGACCGTATGGAAGGAGAAGGAACTCCACGGGATGTTCTACAAGGCTCTACATGAGCCTTTCGTAGACACAGTCGCCTCCCTCCACTGGCTACGTTTCGGTGACCTCTTTGGGGAAACCGAGGGTTTTGCCTGTGCGATACAGGATCAGGTTATTAAGACCAACAATTATCGGTGATACATCCTAAAGGATGGCACCGTCGACGTCTGTCGAGCTTGTCGCCATCCCGGTGAGTCACTTAGGCATGTCATCTCCGGTTGTTAGGCGCTTTCTAACTCTGAGTATTTGCACAGGCACAACTTAGTAGCCAGGATTCTACACCAGGAGCTTGCTCTGAAATACGGTCTCGTGGATCGGAAACTGCCGTATTATAAGTACTTGCCGGAAGCCGTACTCGAAAATGACCGCGCCAGGCTCTACTGGGACCGGGCCATCATCACAGACAGGACTATTCTTGCGAATAAGCCTGATATTGTGCTGATGGACCGGGCACAGTCAAGGATATTTTTGGTCGACATTACCATTCCTTATGACGAGAACCTCGTCAAAGCCGAAACAGATAAGCTGACAAAATATCTGGACCTGGCTCACGAGGTGACCGGCATGTGGGGTGGATTGCCGGCCGAAATTATACCTGTAGTCGTCTCTGCGAATGGGTTAATTTCAGTCAGCCTCTCGGGTTATCTGAGCCGACTGGGACTCCATGACGGACCGCTCCAAGCTCAAATGCAGAAGGCGGTGCTCCTCGATACCGCCCGCATCGTCCGCCGGTTTCTTTCCCTTTCCCCCTAACCCTCAGCCGTTTGGTCTCCCCTGCCGAGGGCTTCCATCTGGTTGGGTTTTTATATATTTATGTATTTTTTATGTATTTATTTTATTTTATTGATATTTATGTACGTTTACCGTTTGTTTACAATTATATATTTATATTGCCCAACCAGATGAGAAATTTTTATAGATACCACATAATAATAATAATCATTTATTTCAATCCATCAGATCATAGTTAAATTTGAAATGAAATTTAAATTTTAAATTACCATAGGCTGGCCGTGTACAGGGACGTACAAAATGCTCTGCAAAGAGTTATTTTTACGGCCCTCGAGCAACGAGCAAATCTGCGGGCGATCATATTGGCCCTCGCAGACAACGCCCTCCGCTCCCTATCGATGTCCGCATCGTCCTTCAAGTCAGGGGTCATGATATGCCCGAGATTTTTTAACTCCACACCGTTTCGTCTAATAGGTGGAACAGTCTCCGGGCAGCCCCGCCCCCTGGCCGGAAAGACCATGCATTCACTTATTATAGAGCAATCCGTCATCCAGCGCATAACGCTCGCACATTCTCAGCAATCTGGACAGACCACACACCGAGGCACTCAGCAGCACCATGTCGTCCACATAACTAATATTATTGACACAAATACCGTCAATATGGCAGCCGACACGGGTGCTGCTGAGCGCCTCTATCAGTGCGCTCACGTACAAAAAAAAGACAATAAAGACTCAAAATGCAGATGCGTTGTCACCCGTGAGGACCAAGATGGAATGCCTCCTTTCTAGTAAAAAAAGTCTCTGGTTCTCTGCACTCACCATACGAAACACAGCAGGGTTAAGCTGCTATTTTACGCTGGTATTCTGTGAGAACGTGGTCCTTCCCTGGTCGAGCCAACCGATTCGTGCAACAACTACCTATACTACTAGCTGCAGCATGGCTCTACTACGAAAAGCGCTCAATAAGTTCTGTTTCTTCAACGCCAATTTTTGCAAAAAAACATCAGTTTTTCTTTATCTATCAAACATTTTTCATCCAGATTCTGAAGATATTTTTTCAACCTAGCAACTTTTTTCTTTATAGACAGAAGTTTACTAGTTTTTAAGTTTTTTAGTTGTTTTTTTTTTCTGATAATATAGGTGTTGCTGCATTTTTCTTTTTCTTGGTGTAAGTGCAATAGTGGGAATCTAATCATAATTTTCAGATGCTTCCTGCTCCTGATAAGCCTGAAAAATAAATAGGTTGTATTATGCTGTTATCATCTTTCTATGCAACTTATTCAATCTCAAGAATAAAATAGTAGAAATTACTATTTGATAAATATGTACCTATTCATTTTAATCAATCATATTATCTACAGTAAACTATTAAAAGGAAACTTACACGTGGAGGATTTGATGTTATACATGCAGATGTCAACGAATCAGGAATAGTGAGAGTGGCACTAGTAGCATCGTAAAATGATAGTCTGTCATGTTGGGTATATGATAATTGATGGCTCTGGAAAATTAGATTTAACATCGTACTTTTTTTGAAGTGGAGAAGTCTGAGCTTCATCTCACAACTATGACTAACCACATACTACACATTACATATTTAACATTTTACGAGTGGCAAGGGACATTACATTTTCAGGGTTGGCGACGCATTTGCAATCTGTAGCGACTTTTTGGATCGTAAATGTCCATGGGCCACAGTTTACTTACCATCAAGTTTATAAAAGCTTTTAGAAAAAATTACTTCGCAAATATCCGCGTTAAAATAAAGTGTGAAAATTTTGTGACCAGTCTGACCCACGTAAAATCGCAATTTCGAGACACGTTATAAAGAGCATTTAGCCGCGTACAGAAATTGCAATCCCGATAAATCCCATTTTGCCAAACATCTTTTGGACACTGAACACAACCTAGCCAACGATCACTCCTTTAAAGTCTTAGATACGTGTAATAAAGGGCTGCGGCTGTGTGTGCTGGAACAGTTAGAGATATTAAAAAGTAATAATAACACCGTTGCATTGCTGAATGAACAAACAAATGTTACTAACTCACCTCTCTTAAATATCTTTAAGCCTGCTCTCTAATAATAGAGAGCCTCGCAATATAGTCGTTTGTCACCCTCACGGTGATCGGCGATTGGTTGCGAGGTTGGAGGGTGGGCGTTGCGCGGCGGTTTGTTTTTAATTTTACAAACGGCTGCGTAAGTCCAGCGATGATTGGTCGCATGTTTTATCGCATGACGCGGTCGCTCGCTCCTTAAGTAGAGAGCGGTTGCGTCATCGGTCTGTATAAAAGGCACTTGTTTTGGCTCGCCGCTCACTTAGCGGTTAGCTACCGTAGAGTCTATATCACCTGAGGATGCCTCGTGTAGAGGCGAAACACGTGTCGTATTATCGTCAGTGGTGTGTCTTGCCTAGTGTAGTGGTGTTGGGAGTAGCGGTGCTGGAATTAGTGGTGACGGGGATAGTGCACGCAATTGAGGGAGGGCGGGAAGTGCTCTTCATACTAGGTAAGACACATCATTTGATTTTATAACGCGGATATTTGCGAAGTAAATTTTTCTAAAAGCTTTTATATAATGGATTTCCGCAACGTAACGCCTGATTCTATTTATTATACCATAAAGTTGACTGTACGCTAGTTTGCCTTCTCCATGATATGAAAAAAAGCTTCCAGAAAAATAATACAGTGTTGTATTAAAGTTAACTTGGTGCCCTCGATCAATCGCTTTCTATTGTTCGCCAACACTTGAAAGTCAGAGGTCTGGAAATGATCTCTACAAATGACACTATTTCTCGTGGTTAGTCAGGTAAGCTTGTTATTACAAAAGTACGTTGTAAGTAAGTTGTTATTATAAAAGTATATATCCTTCAAACTCTGATCTTTAGGAAACCTGTAAAAACTAAATAAAAAAAAACAATATGGTTGAAGTTCGAACTTATTAATTTTAATATAATTTGATGCAATTTTAATATTAAACTATATTATAACAAAGCTCACAATATATATTAAGAGAATCAGAAAACATAATCTCAAAAATAATTATGCCATTTTTATTAATAACTAATAACTATTTATCCCCGTGTAGTGGCGGCTAAGAATACCCACTACCCCATATCTTCCCGTGGGTACCATAAGAGACGACAGAGGGAATCTGAGGCAGAAGATGGGCAGCAGCATCTTTCTGATAACAGTAGAAAGCAATAAAAAAACTGCGGTGGCCAACCCGCTCACCAAGCGTGGCAACTATGGCAATATACCCCAGCCTCCCCAACCCATGAGCGATGACGCTAATAAACGGCCCCAAGTTCCCGGCGGCCTCGCTATTCCTAGCTACAGAAGCTACCATGGTAAC